AAGGTTGGGTGGAAATGTCATCCATTACAAAGGGCCTGAGCTCAATCTCCAGTATAGAAATAAACAAACAAATAAATAAATGAAATATCAAATGAAACAATGATTTGATGCCACTGGCTTTTTGTGTGTGTGTGTGTGTGTGTGTGTGTGTGTGTGTGTGTGTGTGGCCAGCTCAGCCCACCAGGGGGCGGGACTGGCTGGCATGTGGTGCTGGGGGATTGAACTGTGGTCCCTGGGCTTTGTTAAGCTTGTTCTAAGTAGGTGCTTTAGACCACTGAGCCATCTCACCAGCCCCGCCACTGGCTTTTGATTTTTTTGTTTTTTATTTACATTAAAAGAAACAGGCACTGAAGAAATTGAAAGCTATTTTTAAATTATTATTATAATTTATCTTCATGGTCACTTAAAAATCTTTTATTTTTTCTAAAATTGATTGAACATTTTTATGATTTAATCAACTTACACAAAATTCTCAAAACATCAGGTCAAATATGTTTATTAATTGAATATTTACATTTCCACATTTTTAAATGTATTTACTACAGGGTCTATAGGGTCTCACTACACAGATCAGACTTCTAGTAATCCTCCTGTTTTTAGCCTCCCAAGCACTGGGATTACAGGTGCAGGTCACCAGGCCCAGTCTCAATTGCCGTCTCAGCCCAACCCTGGGCCAGGCCGGCATAGAACTGACATGCGTAGAATTGAATGCCAGTCCCAGCGTGTGCCTAAGCAGGGGCTTTAATCTGCTGAGCTATCTGGCCGGCCCTCATTTTTTTTTTTTTTTTTTTTTTTTTTTTTTTTTTTTTGCGGAACCAGGGATTGAACTCAGGTCCGTATGCTTGCCATAGATTTTAACATTTATAGGCAATAAAATTGAAAAGTCCAGAGGGATAGTGGGAAGGAGCATAAGACTATAAAAGAAGAGCAGTCTTTAGTGAGGGTGGACTTGGATAGGGTAGAACACACTTCACTGTTGTCTTGGCTTTGCGCATGCTTTAACTGTGTGCTGTCCCAGTTTTTCTTCTCCCAGGACCCAAAGACTCACCCTGCACAGAGGCATCCCCCCACCCCCATCAATCTCTAGCCCACATTAGTGGTGATCCGTACACGAGCATCACTCCAGAGCAGGGTCCATCCCGCAGCCCCCCGCCCCATGCACTCGGGTTCCTCTACACACCTTCTTCCTCTCCTCTCAGTTAGCTTGCCTGCTTTACCCACCACCATGTGTCTGTCCCTGAACTTGAGTCCCTTGCTCTCTGAGGGTCTCTGGGCAGTAGCTGAGCTGGGGAGAAGACTACCTGAGTGGAGAACTGATCAGCACATGTGGCTCTGCCCACTGGACCAGGTGGCTTTGTTCAGGTGGCTTTCTGGGGATCCTGGTACCTGGGCCAAATGTCTGGGCAGCAGAGGCCAAAAAGGAACAAGGAGCAGCAGAAGGAATCATAGTTCTAGGTCTGAGGAAAGGCCAGGCAGGCAAAAGACAAGGTTGGCCCAGTTGGGAAGAGTAGGTGGTCTGTAGGGATTGTCTTTGTCGCATGAGCCTAGGACACATTAAAAGGCCATGAGAAGAAAAGTAATGCCAGTGGCAGCAATTACGGATGGTGGCCAGGCCACCTCCTCAGACAGGCCTTTTCCTCCAGCTCTTCCAAGAATCACCACCAGCACCTTCCACTGCTGGTTTCTATTTCCTTACTCGCTTTCATTTCTCTTCATAACATTTATCATTCTCTAAAATTAAGTATTATTTGTGGCCAATGAATTTGGACTACAGGTGTGACATTCCTTTGTGGTTCTGAGTTTAGCATCTGAAACATTGCTTGGCACACAGCAGGTGCATCCTTAATAAAAATAAAATAATAAAAAGTCACATATAAGCACGAATGGCACCACCACCGTTTTTCAGAGAACCGTTTCACTCTCACCTATGGCTGGACAATGACAGCGTCTGTGCTATCTTCAAGGGGTGAGTCAGTCACTTTCTGGTCTACCAGCATGTAGCAGCACTTCATTGTTCTCTGGAAGGTGTTGGGCTGCTTTGGATTTGAAATGACATGGCAAAGATCTCCTGGGATCTCGTGGACGTGGACCTGGGAAGGGGCGAAGCCCAGCCCCATGGGCAAGGGACTTCTGTCCAGGGAGGTGAACAGGAAGACTGCGTAGGTCAGGTGGAGATTGGGCCCTTCCCTCAGGAAAAAGAGACCCTCAGGAGGTTTCCAGAATTAGATGCTGATGTCACTTCCTTGACACAAGGGCAGGAGCAAGTTTCCACCATTTAATAGACGCTGTAAGGTCTGAAAGTAGTCATCGCCCTCTACCACCCAGAGCTGAGGTGGCCCACAGATACTCGGGGGCACAGGTAGTGCGGGTCTTGGCAGCTCAGAGAGCAACTCGTCCTGGCTCTGGTGGCCAAGGCACGGTCCAGACACAAGGTACTGCTCTCCTCCACACATAGGTGGGGAACGCTTTCCTCCTAAGCATCTCCATACAAAGAGAATGAAGCTCCATTTTCTAGGTGTTTGTGAACCTGACTTCAAGAAGCCTGAGAGAAAATCGAAAAGCGTTCACAATCCCACAGATTGTTCACAAACTCAAGCATCCCCATGATTACATTTTTATACTGAAGCCAGAGATTTGGGATGATATGGACCCATAATTCAGAATATCTTACATATGTGTATGTACCTATAGACACAATAGTTTTTATTCGTGTATTTTCTTGTAAGAGTATCTCATATTTTTACGCCAGGGATAAGTTTTACTTATTTATGTATTTGGTAAAGGGTCTTACTACACAGCTCGGACTCTTAGTGATCCTCCTCTTTTCAGCCTCGCCAGCAGTGGGATCACAGGCGTGCGCCACCAGTCTGGTCTCGGTGGCTGGCTCAGCACACCTGGGGATGGGGCCGGCACTGCATGTGGTAGCAGGGATGGGGGAAGGTTGTGTTGGCAAGTTCTTTGTATCTCCAGGTTAGTCCAGGCCTTTGTATTTGTTGTTGTTTGAGGCTGTCACACCCTGAATCTGTTTACTGGTTAGATGCTTGGGTGCTACAAGCATAAAATATACCTTGTTCTTAAGAAGTACCCTGAGGGAGAGTATCGTAACAAGTCTTCTTACTGCAGTCAATCAACTATGTGACTTAACACAGGTCTCCTCTTGGGCCTGACTTTTAACTTTGCTTTGAAAAGGGTGGCCAGAGAGTTATAAAGTTTTCTTTTAAAGTGAGAGAATCTATGATTCAAGTAAGGTAAATTTTTTTTTTAACTGCTTTTCTTCATTAGGAGCACCATGTACGTCATCAACAGGTATTTGGAGACTGAATCTTGCATCAGTTGAACAGAATGCCTAGGAGCTCAATTCAAGAACATGTCGGTGTTAGGGTTTGGTTTGGTTTGGTTTGGTTTTACTTGTTCCCTTTTAAGGAATTTAGTCCCTTAAGATATTTCATGCTTAGCCAGCATGTTCATTACTTTTAGACAGATACTTAAAGGAAAGGACTTCATTTGATACCTTTATTTATATGCAAAACAGCGCACCATTCATGAGATATGAAAAACTCGTCAGATAGAAACCAGATTATATCTATTTTCACTACAAAATATTGCATTATATAAAGCAACAGAGACACAAAAAAACCCTGAAAAAGACTAAAATCTTTGGATAGCAGATGTGGTTTTTTTTTTTTTTTCTTTTTCTTTTTCTTTTTCCTTGTCTCTAAAATATACTCCTTGCTTAAGAGTTTCATAGCTGAGATCATGAAACATTTTCAGGTTATAGACTTTTCTTTTTGGTTGTCACAGAGGAAAGTAGTTCTGAACTCTTTTTTTTTTTTTTTAGGAAAATAACTTAATTTCCTAAAATCATCCCACTCACAAACATCACACACCCACATACACACACGCACACACACATAAAGAAGCTACTCTCCTTATAAACAATTTGTAAAGTACTTTTCAGACATAACTACAGATAATAACAACACTTATTTTATAAAAAACTATAATAGCGAAGTGCTAGTGTTGCTGACCTCACAACAAAAGAACCTTTCAAGAACAAACAATACATAAAATATGTTTAGAAACGGAGAGGTGGGAAATTTCTTATACAAGTGCAATATAATTAGAGCAAAAAGAAAGACCACAGTATAATCTCAACAAACACATAAAAATTTAGACATAATTATTCCACAGGAAAAAGTGTAAACACTCGACTATAAATAAATTGGCACAGAGTATCCAAAGTAAAATTATCACCACTCTGAAAAATAAACGTCTTGAAAAAAATACTCTACTCCTTCTAACATAAATAAAAATAGGTCGTCTTCTTCTAACCGTACCTATGGGTCCACGTATTTAAGGTCACAAATAGATGTTTTTGGATATAGAAAGGGGCACTTCACCTGAAAAGAGCAATGAGATATTAAATTTTCCACTTAAATATGGGTTGTTTTTTTTTGCTGTCTAGATCAGTGTCTTACCTTGGGGTTAAAAATCTCATCCTAGCTCAGTCCTCCCACAGTGTGGTTATTTTCAATGTATCTTTTAAACCTTACCAAATATTTACCGTTTGTTTTGTTCGGCCTCTAATATATAACCTTTCCTTTGAGCGAGAAACACCAAGTTTCCTGTTCCATCGCTCTGTGCCTCAATCTCCGGAAGGGAATTCCTCCTCTTCCCTTTCCCAGTGTTTGATGATGTGTCAATTAGAAAAATGCCAGACAGGCTGAAGTGAGGAATCTACTGTGAAGCTTCTGCCCTCGTTCTTTCAAAAATAAGGGTCTGCGGGAGACAGATACGGGAGAACTCGGCCTCCAGCGGGTTACAGCAACAACCCTCGCGGGGAGCCTAGCACACCGAGGGGGCGCCCGGGCGGCTCGGCGGGGGGCCCTCGGAGGCTCTCCTGCCCGGCGATCGCCGCTCCTCGGGTCCCCGGGCCCGGGCCAAGCCCACCCCCAGGCCTCTGGAGCCCGCCGACCGGAGAGAGCGGGCGGCGCGCTCCGTCCCGGCCGCCGCGTCCCCGCCCGGCCCGCCCCGCCTACACGTCCAGGACGTGGTTGAGATAGGAGATGTAGCAGATGGCCAGGCGCAGGATCTCGATCTTGGAGAGCTTCTTGTCGGGCGGCAGCGTGGGCAGCAGCTTGCGGAGCTCGGCGAAGGCCAGGTTGAAGGCCTCGACGCGGATGCGCTCGCGCGTGGCGTGCGCCGAGCGGTACTTGGCCGTGGCGCGCCGGCGGCGCCGCTTCTCCTCGCGGCTCAGCTGCTGCGGGTGCGCGTAGAGCGCGGCGCGGCCGCCGCCCTTGCCGTCCGCCTCGGCGTCCTCCGCCGGCTCCAGGTCCGACACGCTGCCCAGGACCTTGGCCTCCGCGCCGCCCAGCGACTCCGGGTCCGAGTGCGCCGAGCTGGGGTGGTCCGAGTCGGCGGCTTGGTCCGGGCTCAGCATCATTTTGGAGGCTGAGAGGGAATCACAGAGCCGGTCAATAGAAAGCACCGGGTCTCCTGGCCTGCCGGCCGCTCGGCGGGGGTCTGCGGCGCCCCCCACCGCGTGCGCCCCGCGCCCCCCGCGCAGGACGGGCGCTGCCCGGGTCTGCAGCCTCGGTGCCCCTGGCCGGCGCGGGCGCGCTCCGCTTCCCTGCCCGTCCCTTTCCTAGACAGACGAAGGAATCCAAAAGGCGAATGCAGAGTCCGCCCGGGCTCGGGGAGACACCGTGCGCGGCCGGGCCTGGGGCCTGGGCCGAGCGGCCGTGCAGCCGGGGCGCCCGGGCGCCCGACGGGCCCATCCCCGAGCGGCGGCGGCGGCCGGCGGGAGGCTTCCTCGGCCCCCTCGCTGTTCTCCGAAATAATCACTGAACAAACGTGTCGACTCTTTTCAAAAGGAAATTGACTCCGGCGCCCTCGTAAGCTCCGGAGCACCATCTGTCACGCACAGAGCCACACGCCTCGGGGACCCAGGGACGCGGAGATGGGGATACACAATGCCCGCCTGCAGACCGCTCACACCCCGTCGCCCGCGCCTCGGGGTTGCGGCGGCGCGTGCTGAGGCCCTGCAGTACGGCTGGGGCGCCCCCGGGCCAGCACGGCTGTCCCCGGAGGCCTCCCCAAGGCCGGCGCCCGTGCCCCGCGTCCCCCTGGCCGTTGCCTCCTGCAAAGTCTCCCTCGCAGGCTGCGCCAGGTCTCCTATTGCGCGCCTTCTGGGAGGGCGCCTCTCGGAACCGCAAGGCTTCGAGGGCATTCACGGAAAGGCCGGGGCAGAGGAGAGGCGCTGGCCGGGCTGAGAGCCCCTGGAGGGACCGGCGGACTGCGAGCCCTTGGCCCGGCCTAGAGCAGCCCACGTAGGAGACCTGGGCTGTAGGTGCGTTTGCTCCTCGAGAAACAAAAGCCACGCAGGCGTGCATGACATCAGACTGTGGCATCGCTTTTGGAGCAAACTGGGCTGCAAAACAGCCTTCCTTTCGAGCAAGGAAAACAGATCCTTTAAGGTGAAATAAAAACAAACGTTTCAGGTGAACTACATGTGACTCCCGGTGGGCTTTTCTCTGGTGCTTTTAGAAGTAAACCAACTTGCACTTACACCGTCGGCTTGAAAGGGAAGAGATACATAGAAAAGAAATGGAAAATCACAAAAAGCATGAGATAGTAATAGTTTGCACAAAACTTCCTGGGTTTCTCTCCAAGCATGTTAAACTGTCTTTCATATATCTTTAAAAACATCCGTAGATGGCATGTTATATATGCGTTTTCTTTAGCTATGGGCTGAAATGAATCTGTAAATGTAACATGAATCAACTTAGTTTCAAGCTGAACAAATATTTTAAAGGAATCTTACCTTGCAAAAGCCCTTTGAACAGTCTTTTCTCCAATCTTTTAGAGTTAAAATCCCAGGGAATAGCGAGGGGAAAATTCCGGAAAAATATTAAAAGCAGCAATTGTTTATTACATTCAAGAATGAAAAAGCAGCTGTCATCTTGCCGGTGCCCACAGAGAGGGACGGTATCTCAGGTCGAGGATGATATGACTGATTGTTCACTTAGCTGGTAGATCAAAAACGCTTTTTCCTTTTAATTGTCCTCGAGCATTTTGAAAAATTCGTTTGTTTCTTTTTTTAATGGTGTGTTGAAAAGTCTCTGGCTTTTTCCCTCCTCCTATGGCTCTATAAATAACAAAAGAGATGCAGAGATAAACACAATCACATCAAAGAGCTGATTCCTCCACTTTCTAATAGCGGAATAATCAATAAGAAAGATGGTTAAGATAAGATTCAGGTCCTGGAGGATTCCTTCCCTCCCTTACTAGGACTGAACAGAAACTGAGAAGTACAGGACAGAGATGTGATGTTGCTCAGAAGTGATTTTTTTTTCCCCGAGATAAGGCTTTGTTCAGCTGAAGTCTCCCCAGCTCCCAAGAACACAATACTGTAACTCGGAGCTAAGGTCGCCTCTTCTTGGTCCCTCATTTACTCGTATGTTTTATGAACAGGCACCTGTTTTCCAGCCTCAAAGTCTTTAAAGGTCTGAGCACACCTCCCACCCCACCCCTCTTGTTTTTTACCTTGTAGCAAAATATATAGAGTCAGTGGCCTGGAGATGCTTGGAGAAAGGTTGGTGAAAAGTGAACGTCTCCTGGAGTAACAGTGACAGGGAAGCAGAGAAAGACTGGAAGAGGGTGGGAGAGGCCGAACACAGATGAAGCGCTGTGTGTGTGGCTTCTTGGCTCTCCTGGTACCAATTGATTTAGCCTGGAGATGGTGGAAGAGATAAAGGCTTAAGAAGGGGGATGGAATTTTTTCCCTCTAAATTGATATTTAATGGGAAATCCTATTGGACAGAAACCTGGACATGAGTCACTTAATTGGACTTGACATCTGTCACAGTGTGGGAGTTTTCACAGCCCAAATATTTTAGTAGATCAGATTCCCACTGAATCTGTGCCATAAAATATAACAGTTGAAAGCAGTCCATGATAGAATTGATAGCTTCTAAACAGTCTGTAGACACCATCAGGCTATTTCTTGTTTTCAGATTATTGGTGCAATATTTAAATGCAAATATATCATATATATTGACTATGGAAAGATTTCTCTGGCATATTACAAAATCAGCATCTTTTCTTAATATTCAGGAAAATGTTTGTGTCCAGCACATGGAAATAAATATTGGACACATGCTACAATGTAAAGTATTTAGATACGCAATACTGCCAGAGATCATTTACATTTCAAAATACATTTCACCAAGGTGGATCAATCATATTGATATTTTTGAGAAATATCCCATTATGAGAATAACTTATCAAGAGATCATTTCTAAAAAGACACTTTTCAAAAGAATAATTAAATTCATCGGTGGACTCAGGAACAGAATCCAGGTATTCAGGGGCCATTAAAGGAGACAATTTTACTTTTCTGATTATGTTTGTTTTTCTCTTCTCTATTCATTCATTCAACTTAAAATCTGACAGACTACACGTGTTAATTACTGCAGTTCACTCTTGCCCATCTTAACATGTGAATACATTTAGTTACGTGGCAGCGCACCGCGCTGACATGCAAGCGCACACAGTTCTCTCGTGTATTCCGACACGGAATGTTGGTACCAGTACGTAGTGTCTACAGCTTATGCAATCTCATGGCCCCTGCATTTATCTACGCCTTATAACAAAAAGGAAACTTGAATTTGGTTATTTTGCCACTCCACAGAAATGCTATTAGTCACCATTAATTATATAGCATTCGCTGTCAATTACTTATCAATTATGCTACTCATTATTTGTGATCATTTTGGCTTTTTTCATTGATCAAGTTTAAATAAGAGTGTGACAGCCTGACTGCTGACTCTGTGACCCCTAGAAGAACATTTCTAGGAGAGTTTTCACTTCCCTTGCTTTCCCAGTTTGCAAACATTTTAGCCTTTTCCACTGGTCAATCTTAAATGAAATAAGAGTATTATAGCCCTACTCCCGGCTTCTCCAACACCTGAAAGTACATCTATAGAAAAGTTTTCACATCCCCAGCTTTCTGAGTTCTGTCTACCCCAAGACTGACCCTCCGAGGTCCTCATGGATGCGGCAAAGCCCTGTGCACACATTTGCCTCCTCCAGGAGATCTGTAAACCAGAATGGGACTGAGGTGGAAGAGAAGAGAGAGTTCCTTCCAAAGAATGAAAGCACCAAAACTGCCCAGCCTGGCCCCCGTCGAGCCCCAACACGACAAGACATTTCAGTTATTCCTAGGATAGTTAATGGAGGCAAAGCCATACTTACACAGGTGGCAATGTGAACCGTTGGGAGGACAAACTCCCTAAGACGGTGAAGATAAAGGGAGACGAGAGGTTTCCTGGGGTGGCCGGGAGCAGCCCACGGGAAGCATTCACACTAATTCGGAAAAATGCACACAGGTGTACACCCCCAGACACCTGCACCCCCTTACCCTGCCGCACTCAGAGAAGCTCACGGGCTCTAGCCAACCGCTGTACATTCAGACCGATGGATTGAAAACCTGGAGAGATGTAATCAGCTTAGCTCTGGAGGGGACAGCTACTATGACAGGAAGGAACCAGTGTTGGGGAATAGGTGGGGAGGAATAGGCATAGCAGGGCCAGCCCAATTTTGCTGTGGTGTCTGTGAACCCAGGCAAACTCTCTTTTCTACCTGACTTACACGTTTCAGATTGGCAGCTACATATTGCACGAGTAAGCCCAGGTGGGTACTCGTTTACACAGCCATGCCTAGACACACCATCCGGGGCACAGACCTGGATTCACACGTGTGTTCTTTCTTCCAGAACAGCCTCCTTCGCTCCCACCATCCTTGCCTTTCCTAAGGCCTCCCCAGCACAGATGGCCCCTCCACAAGCAACCCTCTCCCATCTGCCTTCAAGACCATATTGTGATCTGTGATTCTTGGTTTCCATATCTGTCTCTCACTAGGCTGTGACACTTCGAGGAAAAGTCTACAGCTTCTACCCCCAGTTCTGACATCTGAGCTTGTCATATACGATTTCAGTTCATTTATGTTGAGTGCCTCTCTACCCCTGAGGTACCCAGACTATTTGTAATAAAGAAATACTTCAACAAATGACACCCATGGTTATATTTGGATGTGTTTTTTTCTCCTATAATAGTGGTGGCCTCTCACCAAAAGCTTGCTTTGAGGCTCAATGGATGTAAAAATATTTGACAAAATACTAAGCATCACACAAAAGAAGACATCATGACATATAGGAGTGATGTTAAATAATATCATTAAATCAACACAGTGGTGACAATCAGTAATTTACAAGGCTAGACTTCCTGGTGCTCTCACTTACTACCTGGGTGAACTTAGACTACCTATACTACTTAGCTTTTCTGGACCTCAGTTTTCTAATCTGTAAAATGGGAATAATAAAAGTATGGTATACTATACGATTTATTAAAACTGAACAAAGAATATGTCGGTATGAGGGTTTATATGTGACACTTAGGCAAATGCCTAGACCCTTCCCTAAAATGCAAAGAAAAAGTGAATGCCTATAAATCATAACTATTGGCTACAAATGCTGAATATTATTATTCAATACAAACAAAACTGAGGGAGGCCGAGGAGATGGCTCAGTGGAATAAGTGCTTCCCTGGCAAACGCAAGGGCCTGAGTTCAATCCCCGGTTCCGCCAAAAAAAAATGTATATGGTTTGGGGCCGGGGAGATAGCTCAGTAGAATAAGTGCTTGCCTGGCAAGCCCAAGTGTCTGAGTTCAATCCCTGGTTCTGCAAAAAAAAAAAAAAGCTTGGGACAAACAAAACTGAGAAGCTGATATATACTTACAAAGAAAGATAAACATATCCACATGTACCCATCTACCACCTAGATGATGTGTGGGGGTGTCCACAATGTCGGTAACTACCGCACAGTGAGTACTGTACATGTGTTAGACAATAAATGCAGGGACTTTTGGCCTATGAATTCATTGAATCTTTGTCAAAATCCTACAGAGCGGGTCCTGCTGCTGACCCTACTTTGCATATGAGGAAACTGGAGCATGGAAAAGCCGGTAGCTGATTGAAGGTCAGACAGCGGCTAATCACAGGGCCAAGGCTTAGACTCAGACCATCGCAATTCTGAATCCGTACTCTCAACCACGGCTCCCTGCTTCGGCGATCACGGTATCCTACATGATGATACTGATGCAGAAGAATGGCTCAGAGAGTGCCTTTTTGGAGGGAGAAACGCTTGCATGTACTGTTATGCCTGCCTACTACACAGTTATAAGCACAAGCCATGTTGGAGTTATGATCAACATGAAACTCATATTTAGGAAACCATTCATTTTCTTTATTAGTCACATAACTTATTACCAACACAAGATATCATTGGTAGTATATATTTTTTGACCATAGGTATCATTGTACGAGGCATTATTTCATTAACCCTTTGTAAATACATGATTTGATGGTCTGGTTTTAAGTGCAGTTTATTTGGAATCTGGTTATTATACTCAAGATATCAGAGAAAGAGGTATGAAAAAAATCAAATGTTATCACAAATGAAATATCTCAAAGTTGGACTTTGGTGATAACTCTTTCAATATCCTTTAAAAAACCTGACTTACGCACTTTAACTATGTTGTATTATTATGTTTCTTTTTTATTTATTTGTGTGTGTGTGTGTGTGTGTGTGTGTGTGGCCAGCTCAGTCCACCAGGGGGCGGGGCTGGCTGGCATGTGGTGCTGGGGGATTGAACCGCGGTCCCTGTGCTTTGCTAAGCTTGTTCTAAGTAGGTGCTTTAGACCACCGAGCCATCTCACCAGCCCGTATTATTATGTTTCAATAAAGCTGTTAGAAAAATCCAGAAGATGGAGCATATGCCATGTTTATACCACAATCTATTTTTCTAAGTACTCTATGCTTTTGCATATTAAATATTTTTCATTGTCACTTATTGTACTTTTTTTAAATGACGATGCGCTTTACATTTTCTTTCTTATTTGCTTGATTCTCTCCTTCTTCAGGCTTGCTGTCCTTAACAGAATGGATAACCATTAGGATAACTTTGAACTAGACCACGTAACTAGACCAGCGCAGGGAGCAGTAGAGCTGGAGAGAGAGGACCCAGTGCGACCGCCCAGCTCACTCCATACTTCCCAACAGCAGCTCCTTGTGCAGGCAGGCTGAGAGCGACTGGCAGATAATCAGTCCCAAGTTTTAAGAAGTCATAGAACAAGTCCAATTTATTTTATTTAAGCCAAAATGTAAAGGTCCCAATAGAAGTATATTATTGATTATGTTAAGTACATCATGATTCTCACTTTTCTTAGCTTAGCTACCAGATACTCCCAGCTTTTATTCAGTTTGGCTAGCAACTTTCCTTCTAAGATGAATGATTTATTTTTCTGCAAGTGGTTGTAAAAACAACTTGATTTGGAAACTTATTTTCTCTGATACAGGGAACTGATGCCAAGTCTTTCCACCGTTCTATAGGCCCAGCTCTCTATTATTTTAGTTTGTGATAACTTCTTCCCACGTTGCTTAATCACCCAGGCTAAACTTAGACTTGTCACCCTCCTGCCTCAGCAACCCAAAGTGTCAGGATTAAACATGGGCCCTGCCACGCTTCATCACAACCAGCTGGCCATTTTTTTTTTTTTTTAACAATTTAGAAATTTATACATCCAAGTGTTTCAGTGTTCCGGTATAGGA